AAGCGTGGTGTAAATTATAATTATATATTTAATTTTATCATATAAGTATTCACTAATTATGTCATTCATTTGTAGACAAGGAAACAACCTAACTCTGATGATTGTGGGTATTATGTGATGAAAAATATGTTGGATATTGTCTCTGCAAAAATAACCAAATCTTGGATGAAGGTAATAAAAATGACTTTAATTTGTTATTTACTTTACGTTTTGCAACTTAATGTGAATTTTCAAAGAATAACTCTATTGTTACTTACGTGTTGTAGGTATTTGATGACCCAATGAACTTATCAAACGATGATTTGTATGATTTGCGACTCCGTTGGGCAACATGTTTCTTTGAGTTATATAAAGGTTGAGTTTTTTCGTTGTTGTAGTGGTCCATCGTGCAAACCTCCTTATAATTTAGTACATTTGTGTATATCCTATATCAGTACTTTTGTATCAGTACTTTTGTAAATCAATTATGTGTATACATACTAGATATTTGGTGCAATCAAATTAGATTTATGAGAAAAATATGAAAATAACGACCTAAATATGGTCTATGTGATGTTGCAAAACTATGAAAATAGCGACCTAAATGTGGTCTATATGATATGCACTATGGAAAATAGCAACCTAATTATGGTCTGTGTAATGTTGGAAAAATATAAAAAATTAGGTACCAAAAAAGATACATGGAACGGCTAAAAAATAGACAAATAATGTATACTCGTAACAGTACTTTTTACATCGGGCGAATGAAACAACCGATGTAAAAAACTACCTTTTACATCTGTTTAACGGAATAACCGATGTAAAAAGTGTCAGCAAATTTTTTTCCCTACAGTACTTTTCACATCGGGTGAACCAACAAACCAATGTAAAAAACTACCTTTTACATCGGTTTAACGGAATAACCGATGTAAAAAGTGTCAGCAGCAAATTTTTTTTCCTACAGTACTTTTCACATCGGGTGAACCAACAAACCGATGTAAAAAGTGTCAGCATGGATTTTTTTTTCCTACAGTACTTTTTACATCGGTTTTGGCACGCAACCGATGTAAAATACCCACCTTTTACATCGGTTTTTCCCTGCAACCGATGTAAAAACACCCTTTTATAATTAAAATTTACAGTTATAAATTTTTGTCCACATCAGACTTAAATATTTAACCGATGTGATTGGTGTATTTCTTACATCGGACCACAGAACCGATGTAAAATGTCTTTGATTTACTACATCGCCTGGCTTTACATCGGACTAAGACCCGATGTAAAAAGTCAATTTTGCCTGATGTAAAAAGTCATTTCTGCACTAGTGAGTTAAACATAGCAGGGAATTGTAGAATCAACGAATCTTTGCCAAGCCATTTTTCTGCCAAAAGTCGATATTAGAACCACTGTCTAGCTTGCCTGACACACAATTGCCAAACTAGTTGGAGTCACTACCACAAGCTCCTAATGAAATCCTAATATCCCTCCACCATATAGATTAATTGGGTGTCTTAACCGACCAAAAAAAATCTAAGATAAAGTCCTCAATATCGTCATATTTAGACGCGAGAGTGGAGTACCACAACAGTTTTAAATTTCTAATAGAGAAAATTTTTCGTGCCCATTTAATTAAAAATATCTTGTTGAAGATTTCCATGTCTGTTGATTTTGATGACCGAATTTGCTAAGAGACTAAAAACATAAAATTTTCAAATGTTAGAAATTTTAATTTTTTTTTAAGGATTTTCCAAAACTCGCATAAATGACACAAAAGAATATTCAAATGTCAGATTGAGTCTAATTTTTTGTTATAGATTTTTTTTTTCAAAATTCACCTAAATGACTATGATAAAAATAACTATTAATCCTATATTAAAACGCACTTTTATTATAAGTGCAAATAGGTTGATTCCTCACTTTGAATGTGAACTGATCGAGTCATGTCATAATCCTTTTGAAAGTGACAAACATTGAACTTTTTATTAAATGTATAATATAATAATCGAATTGGCTTTTTGGAGACAGCTCAAGACCAAGCAAAGTTTCTTCATCTAAAGATATGTCACGCCTAAGCTAGCTAACTTTTCAAACACAAAAGTATGAAGTCCCAAAAAGATTCAAGAATTCAAAACCCCCATAAGGAAAAACAATATCATCAATTACAGAATAAGAAAAAAAACTCTTTTTCTTTTTCTTTCCCTCCCTCAATGTTCTATATATTACTTAATGGAAAGGAGTAAGGGTGTAATGATCAAAGAACCAGAAAAATCGGTAAGATAAGACTCAAATCAAATCTAATAAACCGATTTGTGTTTTTCTTTTCATGTTACAGTTAAAATCAAATCAAATTAATTAAAATCAATTTTTATAAATTTAAAAAGTAATCCGAATTAAATCATTATACTTGGAGATTAATTACTATGCACTGATAGTATAAAAAGTTTTACACGGTCAATTTATCACCATCATCTGCTTGCATTACTTTATAAATTGTTAAAATAAAAGTCAAATTTCTTTCTTTATTCAACGTCTATATCGTAAAATCTTTTTATACTATCAATACATTTCAATTAAATTTGTATACTTAGTATTTTTTTTATTTAAAACTATTTTAGTAGTTTTATTTTAAAAATTATGCTGTTGTATATTCATTATATTTATCTTTTTATAATAGATTTTAAAACTTCCTAACATGTCAATTTGTTTGAAGTAATTCAAACCAACTATTTTGATTTGATTATTTTAAACAAAATAAAACTCACCCCTGATTAAAATTTTATACTAATAGATAATCTTTATACATTGAGGTATTTCAAATTAAAATATGTCTAGGTGCTGAGCATGATATAAGTGAGTAGTAAAGATAAGGTATTGGCATAGAAATTCGTAGCCGGCCATATCCACATAAAGATATATGCATATGATGCTGCTAAGTATGCGCATGTTACGACCACAAACTATCAGATCTTAAGCAACAAAGATAATATATGGATGGAGCTATAAAATCTTTAACTTTCCCTGATCATAGAATATGAGGTCATATATCTTGTATGTACAGTTCAATTTTTAATGCTATTTATTTCTTACTTATTTTTTATCACAAACTCAGTGTCAATCACAAAATTTTCTGCTCAAGTACTCAGAAAAATCTAGCCTCCAATCTTTGAAACTTGTACTAGAGTTTCAGTAACTAATCAACTTACATTACAGGATTTATTCTCCATGAAATGTACAACACTAAATAACCAATTTATTCCATAATACATATAGAATTGAGTATATATGGTCTCTTTGACCTCTGAAATTCTATGTAGTGTACAACAAAGTATAAATTTGATGCACAATTTTTTTTCTTAATATGAATATGGACTTTAGTAAAAATGGTATGGTTCTGTCATTTGATTTGTTTTTAGAGTTGATATTAGACAGACTCTTCTTTTTCAGGAACCAATATATTAAGTTGTATTCTCTGCCATTTGTCTTAATCAGCATCTCCAATGTAGAGTATATATCTGAGGGTACTTATTCACAAATTATAAATTTGATGCACCAAAATGTATTCTGCTTTGTAAACCAATATATTATGCTGTATTCTCTGCCATATGTCTTGACCAGCATCTCAATTATTTTCCTATTGCAATATAAATCAGTATATATCTTAAGGTACGTATTTCCTCATAAAAGTTATAAAAATACAAGGCAAATATTCCCTCAGCATTAACAAATAGAAGGTAGCCATTAACAAGAATACACACACATATTCTCTGCCATTTATCTAGATTCTAAAACCAAATTGTTAAACTTCTGGTTTGTCAAATAATAGAATGAGATTTGAATTTCTAAAATAGCCCATGCAGGTAGAATGAAAAGTGAAGATTCAGTCACCGATTAAAAACACACATATACTATAAATGTGTGTCTCATATAAATCTCAAAAATGAGTGGTGTTTACCATTTTTAATTAAAAATGAGGAATAAATATTATTTTTTATTAAAATTTATTGAAAATAATAAGACACATTTTTGAACCAAGTTCATATCAGACACCATTTTATTATACAAATTGAGGCACATTCTAATATACACCTCAAAAATATATTCAAAGGAAAATAAAACTTCACATATTTTTTATTATAAAATATCCTATTTTACTACAATAAGAGTCCAAATCTTTTGTTTTAGCTCAATATATTAGATGCACTTATATATAAAAATAAAGTTTTAATATATACATTATATTTTCATGATTTATATCAAATTTAAAAGAGATGATATATATAATAGAAACATAAAATCAAACTTTTAAGTTCTCTATTCTCTAATATATATATTTGATCATACATTACTGAAGGATGAAACAAAACTTAAATGCAACTCTTATATTTTAAGACCACTAAATTTTATAGACTTATTCAATACTTTATTTTATATACCACACAAGCATATTATACTTATTATTATTGTCTATTTCTCTCTCATAGGCTCCTTCAAGTGTTTGGATGCCCATCTATCATTTTCAACCTAAATAATACACTCTATAGTGGGTAACCGATTTAAATTGTCGAAATTGTATGGATGGTGCAAAATGACTAATAATATTAATATTATTAAAAAATGACTAATAATATTAACAAAACTCTGAAATTAAAAATGGTAGATTCGATAATTAGTCAATTAGACACAATTTCCAGACTAAATTGACATATGCAAATAGACTAATGTGCTAAAGGGTTTTCAATATCAAGAATAACACTATAATTTTGTTAGTTTTATGCATAAAAAGTTTGACTCCAATTTTGAAAATTGAAATGAAGTTTAAATATTATCAAATCTTTTGACACAAAATATACGAGAGGCATCATTTGACACAAAATCTGGTAACTCTAATCACATATATAATATTAATATCTTAATCTAGAACTATATAACTTTTTCATCACTAGTAAATAACTTGTTTTAAAGCAGTCTAAATTCATTTAAAGATCAAAATAGATAAATAACCATTCAATATATATGTACCATCAAATATTTCTCTCATCCCTGCTGCGCATTCCACGGGGTACAATATCTCCAAGTAGTCCTTCATCGGTTGGATGCTGCGGCAGCGATGCATCAGCAACAGCCATTGTAGCGCTGCTCGATCTTCCAGCTTCATGATCATCAAGTGGTTGGCTAGAAACAGGAGTGGTGCAAGTGTTTGATTCTGTAGGTATTTGAATAGGATAATAGAAGTGAGGCATTGTTGGAGCGAATTGGCCAGTAAAGGAAGCTTCATGACTAATGATTCCACCTCGAGGAAATCCAACTGTGTGATGACAGTGTTGGCCTTCATAAGTTGTTACAACAATAGTTGGGTCTTCACAAGAGCGTTCAACCCTTTTCTTCACTGTGCATTTACTATTTGTGCATCTATAATAGCTTCTGCAACAAGACAATACATGCATTAGAATAATTATCACAATGTTGTCTACTAGACCTCATTGTAATATTACTACTTCCAGTTTATTCTAGAAATTCAGTTCAAAATACTCATCTTCATTTTGCATAACAAATATTGAGGTCAACTAGTTTTATTGTATTTTAGACTATACTATTACACTTTTAACATTATAAAATACAGGTTTTTTGAAATGATGGCATCAATTAAATCATTATGCACTCAAAAATGGATGCTTCCAAATGTAACTTTCAAAAAAATTTCTAAATTATGCACCCTCACCATTTTTAATAGAGTCATCAATCCTTTTCTCTTATTTTTTACTAGAAGCCTTTGCTTTTCTTTTTCCTAATACCTATTTGAGAATATAGCCTAAGTCTAACATAACTCACCATAAAGATAATTATGAAAGCCATTCAAGTGTGACTAACCCCTCTCAACTTATCATAGGATGATCTACTACAGCAGATGAGACTTGTATAAAAGCAAGTGTCTACTGATTTTGTAATCAATTACCTCAATTAATAAAACAAAATTAAATAGATTTAAGAATCCACAAATTAATTTTTAATAATACTGAATTTACTATTTAATTAAAAATGTTAAGGTTCTTTTCTTAAAGTCATTTTTATATTCATATTATAAATATTTAAAAAAAAAGATAGTAATAAAAAAAATTCATTTATTTTAATGGAGTTTTGAAGGGGAGGGAGACTGATTTCAAAAAAAAATGAAGAAAGAAAGTAAAAAATAAAGACTTCTAATTTGGGGAAATACAATAAATGTATTGGAAAACACATGCTTCAAATCATTTCCATAATATTATAATACTCTTAAAATAAAATAAAAAAATATATAGTAATTATAAATATTTTCTTATCATTTTTTACAAGATCATTTTCTCAATTTGGGTTAAAGATTACTACTTCTTTGTCTCTCTTTTCTTTTTTCTTAACACTCTCTCCTCCAAACCTTCAAACCCTATTGAATTTTTATTCATGCAGATTGGCCACCTATTAAAATCCACTTGAATTGACTACAAAATCATTCTTTCAAATAAAGTGAAAGATTTCTAATTCTTTTCCTCTCTCTGCAGCCCTATCCTTCTCATTTCCAAAAGAAATCTAAAAAACGATGTGAATCTTTTTTCATGTAGATGACTAATAAAATCCTTTTGAGCTAACATTTCTAGTTTCAACAGCCAAGTATTTATGTCTACAATCCTAATAATTAGCATAACTCCTTTCAAATTGTTGGTATTTCTATAATCCAAAACAAAAGCTAGTTATGAGAAAATATGAGAAGTTTGAAATTCGGTTACACTATCTCTCTTAGGTTTCTTCTTTTCTATTAGACAACCAAAATAGAATATAGAGAGAAGATGAAGAATAGTAGAATAATAAGATGTAAAGGAACAAGAAAACTATGGGAAAATAAATTAAGAAAGATATTTAAGTTTAATTAGATCATTAAACCAGTAGGGTTTAACAATAAGAAAGGTAAAATGCAATTTTCTTTTTGGATATTTTCATATCCAAGTATACCATCGTGGTTCCTATCCAATGATTCAACCGCGGTGCTGCAAAATATTCAAATTCTCATCAAATAGCTCATTCAAAAAAAAAAAACATCTCAATAAACATGTCCACAACAGAATATCTTAATATCTATTGATCCATATATATATAGAACTGATTCCACATATTAGACAAAAAAGCTTCAGATGTTATTATTAGAAATTTTACAAGCATATATTCTAAGTGTCAAACCATATGTCTTTGCATGCTTTCATGATTTATCAAATCTTTACATAAATTTAAGAAACAAAATGTGCATGAAATAATCTATTGTATGTACTCTGTAACAAAATATAAACGAAAAAAAAAGATGTATTGTAGTTTTTTTTTTTTTTTTTGTTGATATGCAAATATTTATTGTAGTTTAAAATTGTTTCAAAATTTTGTTATGGAGTTAGAATATATGCATAGTCATGGGAAGAATTAAAGGTTAATATGATTAGAAGTAGGTGTAGACCTAGGAAATGGGCTATTTTTAACTGCCTTCTGACCATACTTTCGCCATCTGTAGCCATCCTCGAGATGATCAACTTCACTCTTGGTCATAAATGCAAACCGCGGCTGCCGTATTCGCTTTTGCCCTTTCTTTTTACTTTTACTCCTGCAAAATATGAGCCACAATGTAAAAGGGCCAAAAGACAACATTATTTCTGCATGGTGTAGAGTATATCAATTATCATAATAATCTTCTGTTCATAAGATAATAATTCACATAAAATATGGACCACGAGATTTATATATAAAAAATGGAGAGGTCCCGCTTTACAATGAAAAAACACGCAAACATTATTTTAGGAAAGAAGCAATATGTCATACTCTTAATCAAAATGCATTGCATATACTAGCTAGTACTCCACATTACTATAATTATGAGCATAAAGTGCAAATTAATGCTAGTGCTACTATCCTATGGCAGTAAAATGAATAAGCATCCTACCAAGAAAGTATATAGTTTTTCTTCTATTCATTCGAATGTAAAAATGACTAAATGAGTATAGTTTGAATATAAAGCTGCAAGTGGTTAGCATCATATTAACGCCCAAAATCCAAAAGCAGTAAATCCAAGTCTATGCCAAAAAATGAAAGATGATAAATATTTTTAGGATAAAAATTTATTTCAAATTTACAGAAATTATTAGAAGAAACAGTACTAGTATCTATTTAAGAAAAATTTTAGAGGAAATATAAAGGAAAATAAGTTAATATATAATAGATAAAAAAAAATTATTTAGCTCTAGAAATAAGTTGATGTCCATCCCACTTTTTAATATGGCTTTTATTTTTAATTAAATATTACAACTATAATTTAAAAAAATGTAATAATTACATTAAAAATAATGCGTAAATAATTATGTTCTGAAAATAAAGCAGAAAAAAAGTTTGGATGGCTCAGAGCACGCTATTCCCGCCGCGATAACGGTGGTGCATGTGGACTAAAGCTTCACAAATCCGAAAAGGTAACTTCATAATTATTTTTATCCTTTTTCCACATCAATTTTTCACTTTTGTATATTCAACCCTGACTTTTTAAAAATTGGAAAACACACGCAAAAAATCTAACTCGGATTGTGTTCCGTTTGGGAAGAAGATTCCAGATTGTACGGACATGGATTTGCACCGATCCCGAAGAAGTTATTAAAAAACGAAAAGGAATTTAAAAATAAATTGAGAAATACTGTAACAAACCAATAAACGGCAAGTTGATTAGAGTTGATTCGATTTTGATATGATTGATGTGGAATTCGGTTATTTTCATTCCATTTTTGTCCTCAGAGTTTCACGTTAATAACACTAACGAACCGCATGGAGAAACAAAAACACTAAACTGAAAACAGAAAGCAGAAAGTTGAAAAGCAGTGGAAGCAAAGTTTGTTACGATTTCATCAACTCACGGTATTTCCGGCGGTTTTTCGTCTGAGACGGTAGATTTCTCCGGCGGATCCTCACTGGAGCTTGAAGAAATAGATTGATTATTAGACCTATAAGATGACGTCGGAACTGGTTCGATCGAACCGGGTTGAACCGGCGGCAACGATCCCTCGCTGGCCCCGACTTGGTCCGGTACAAGATCCCAGCCGATGTCACCGAACATGGTTCTATCTCTATCGCCGGAGAAGAAATGACTTCCATCGGATTCATCGACGCCGAGAGACCAGCTCGAGTTGCCGATAAACTCGCCGGCGGTTGCGGGATCGGGAGGCGCTCTGTCTTTGTCTTCCATACATGGATTACGTACGAAAAGTGTACAGTATGCAGAACATGCTAATCGAAACTACAATTCTGAAATGAAGATTCTTCAGATTTTCTGGAAAGCGCGAAGAGAAAGAGATAGAGAGAATTAGGGTTTGTGTTATGGAGTGTTGGTGGTTGCGAGAAGGAAGGGACGCGTAGGTTTTGAAGTTTATGAAGAGTTTGAAAGCGTTGTCTCGTCAAAGCACAGTGTAAAAGAGATAATAATACTAATAATAATAATGTGAAATATATGTATTTTTTTCAAAAAGTTTTTATTTTTGTGATAATAAAAAAAATGAAGAGAGATATGTTAAAAAATTATTGAGTGTCAAATTTAAGAAGGGGAAGAAAGAAAGTGGTTACAGGAGCACGCGCGGATGAATTATTGGGCCCTTGTGGTGTTGTGCGTGTGCGATATGCTGCGCAGGGATTTTCAATTCTGACAGTCTTGGCTTTTTATAATTCAAAGTTTTAATTGGTCAATAAATATTAGTAATATTTTCACTTTTTTTTTTCTTTTTAATGATATTTTCACTCTTGCATCTATATCTCATAACTAGAATGTAAACATGGTTAATAAATGTGGTGTTTGATAAAACTAGCTAATGGTTGATAATTGTGTTAGTTGGTAAATTTTGACTAAGGAATAAAAAACATATTCGATAAGACATTTTGCAGACTAAGGTCGAAGAAGTCCGACAGACCACCCGTCAAAAAAATATTGAAGTTGCCTCACAGATGATAATTGCAGTCGAAGTCAAAGCAAGCCAGAGTTCTTGGGCGAACAAACAAGTTTGCAATAGACGAGAACGTGGGAAGTTACATAGGTAGTGGGCATGTGTGGGGGTTGACACGTGGCAGGCTAGGGATGACTGACAACAAAGTAACTGTTATTTTCTAGGTCTATTTAAGGATATCTCAATTTCAGTTTTAGGGGTCGCATTTTGTAACATTGGAGAGAATACACTCAAAGTACCAGCGTGTGAGAGAAACGAGTAAACTTTGCAAATGTATGCGTGCGTCCATTTTTACACTTAAGCAATTTATCTTATAAGCCTTGTTTCTTTTGTTTGTGTCTTTTTACAATTTCGTTTTACTTTTCTTTCATTGAGTTAGTTCAATCTTGCAAACGTATTCTTTCATCTACCACTCTAACCCTAAGTACTCAAACACTCGACCTATACTTAACACATAGTCTAGAATTCTTGTAGTTGATCCTGCACGTAAACTTTAATAAGAGGCTAGAGGTTGTTTGCCGGAAATCCTGTGCGAACAAATTGGCACATCCGGTGGGACCCGTTGTGTTAGATATATGTTGCTATGTACTAGTAAGATGGTAGAACAACGAAATACCAGTCCAAATGGGAAACAATCTTCAAGAGGAAATACAGTCATGTTAGAAACCACAAATGTGGGTTATAACACTATGGTCGTGATTTTGAATGCTCATAGTGGATCGATACCGACACCGCATCGACCTGAAGCGGTAAGACCGATGGTGGATGGAACTTCAGGGCCATTTATGCCTAGTTTTAATTTACCCATGTACGGTAGGGATCAAAACTTTGGAATGTCAACTGAGTTGATGGCAAGTATACGTGGGAGCGGTTCGACCTTTGTCGAGAGTTCGTCCTTAGCATTTTCACCTTACCATGGATTGGGACCTTTGGGTAACCAAATTGGTCGAACCACAAGATTGGGTTTTCCATCAACCTCAACCTTTATGTCCAGTTCTGTCGCGGTCATGAGACAACAGATGGACGAAAGTAACCACGAAATAGTCCACATGCTGACTCAGCAAATGGGAACCATATTAAGACCATTAATTCAAGATTCGACTCAGAGTTACCAACATTTGGCAACTCAGATGACCAAAATAGGTGATTTCTTGGGTTCTCATAGGGCACAAGTTCGATAGAGGACCCCACCTCAACCGGAGGTCTCGGTTTAATACAAAGAGAGGTTCGAAGAGAAAATTGACTAAGAACCTCGTGCGATCGAGCCAATTCCTAGGGTGGCCCAATGGCCTCCTGTTGTGCTAGTTAATAGAAACCAAGATCTCGACCAAGTAGTCAGGCAGGTTTGACAGGATGCAATGGCTGGAGAACAAAATCTAGAGGCCATTGTCAAGCGAATCATGGTGCAAAACAGTGTGAACCATGACCTACAAAGGCCAACATATTCGTCCCTATTACTAGAATTTGTGTTGCAAACAGGATTGCCAAGGGGATGAAAGGTTCCAAAGTTTACCAAGTTCGTTGGGGACATTAAAGAGTCTACCGTCAAACACGTTGCTAGATATCAGACTGAAGCTAGTGACATAGCGAATAATGAGGATTTAAAAATGAAATACTTCCCAAGTTTCCTCAAGAAAAATGCGTTTATGTGGTTCACGACGCTGGCTCCATAATTCGTCCATACATGGGCACAGTTGGAGAGATTGTTTCACGAATAATTCTACATGGGAAAGTCGAAGATAAGTTTGAAGAAGTTGGTCAGCTTCATACGAAAGGCCGTTGAGTCAATCAAGTAGTATCTCAACAGGTTTAGACTTTTGAAAGAAAGATGTTTTACTCAAGTCTCTGAACACGAGCTAGTTGAAATAGTTGCATGCAGTTTAGATTATTCTATTAGAAAAAAGTTAGACACTCAGTATCTTAGAGACATGGACCAATTGGTCGATAGAGTTCGATAACTTGAACGGTTGAAAAATGAAAAGGCCAGAACTGGTAAATACCATAAGAAAGAGAAAGTGTCTTATGTCGCGGCAGACGCATACTCTTCTGATGAAGAAAAGCTCGTCGATGAGAGCGAGGTCAACATGGTTGGGCTTAAGCCAGGACCTCCCTACACTTGTAAATTATTGAAACTATCGAATGGGAAAAATCCCGTCGACACCGAAAAAATAGATAAATTCGTTGCAAAAACTTATACTTTTGATATAATTAAATGTGACGAAATATTTGATTTGTTGGTCAAAGACGGACAAATTATTGTGCCTCAAGGCCTGAAAAATCCCCTATTAGAGCAAAAGGAAAAAGGGGATTATGTAAATTTCATAATTTCTTGGTAATAAAACCTCTCAATGTGTTCTTTTCAGAGATTTTGTGTAAAAGGCTTTGGAAGAGGGCATGCTTCAATTTGGCGAAAAGCCAAAGATGCAGGTGGATACAAATCCTTTAAAGATGGAGGAATATTTGTATGTTGAACCTTTTGAATGCATGATGGTTGAGACTATTGAGGGTTTCGACAAAGCCCTGATTACTAAACCTTCTGAATTCCTGATGGTTGAAATTACTAAGAGCTTAGACGCGAGAACTAAAGATACATTGATGGCAGTTTACCCCACAACTGGAGAAGGATTGGCTGAATTCTAAGAGAAATGCATAGTGAGAGGGTCGAAGGTTGTGCTATGTCCAAAATACAATGTTGTTTTTAACGAAAAAGTCGCTGAAAAGTAGAAGTTAGCAAAAAGAAGGCGCTGGAAGGGCAAGATACCTCCATTCTAAGATTTGTGCTTGACAAAAGGGGAACGCCTCAAAGAATGAGGAATTTAGGATACAATTCCAACACCCTCGACCCAAGATATTTATTCCCCCGTCGAATACTCCATAAGAAAATGGGTAGAACATGTGAATCAGAAGGGGGCAAGAGGCCAAAATGGAGAGTGTTCGACCTAGGGGCAGAGGCTAGAAATCCAGAGCAAAAAACTGAACCTAGAGGCTATGTGGTTTCTCCAAATTACAAAGGCAAAAACCCCATGACAAGGACACAGTGGAGGCGGTATCAGAGAAACAAGAAAGCTGGGAAGGTGGCTTTGACATCGCAGCTGAAACCCGCCGAGACCCCTAGGCGGAAAAGAGAGTATCCAAATAGAAGGTTGGTCGAGAAAGAAAGAATTGTGGCGAATCAGACGCTCTCCATGATTGTTGAGCCTTTGAGAGAAAAAGAGGTTGTCTCAACCCAAAAAACAGAATATACTTTGCTGATCGAGGAAGGAGAATTAGAGTACACTCTCCAGTCGGATGAAGAACCAAAATACACTCCTTAATTGGATGAGGAACTTGAATACACTCTTTCACCAGAAGATGAGATGGTCGATGACACCTATGGTAAAGACTTTATTATTAACTGCGAGATCGTGTTAGTGTTACCTGTTGAATATGATAGAGTGTCGGAAGTTTTCGAAGTTGACGAAGATTTTGTGCTAGACGAAAATGGTGAAGACAAACCATTGTGTTATTATGTTATGAAAAACGGTGTGGTGGAGGACAAAAAGGCCACATTTGAGAAGCCTAGTCCAAGAATGATGTATCATTTGAAGCCATTATTTATAAAGGAAATGTAGGTGGGATGCCGGTGAACAGAGTGTTCGTCGATAGTGGGACAACTATTAATATGATTCCCCATACCTTGTTCAAAAAGATGGGAAAGTGTGATGCCGACCTTCGACATCACAATATGGTTATATCCAACTATAAAGGTGATCTGACCTGATCAGGAGGGGATCACGGGCTGGCCACACGCTGTTGGACTGCTACCTATTCACCGGTGATGAGGAGGAGAAGGGGGGGTGTACCTGCAAGACACTCCGATGTCAAAGTAAGAATTTGGACAGAGTGAGAGCAAAGTACAGAAAGTGGGTAAGAAGTGAATTACCTGACCCTCTTGAGGAAGAGGGTATTTATAAAGAGACCCCAGCGCTGGGCCAACGGTCACTTGTGTTGGGCTGGATGGCCAGGCCCAACCCAGGTGACTGCTAGGGCTTACGTGGCGTAGTGAAGACCAAGACGTGGTCTTCGCCCTAGTCCAACTGTCCTGTGGTCTCCATAAAGTGGGTTTGACCTGCTCTTTCGGAGGTGGGCAGTTGGGGATGACGTGTCCCCGCGGAGGGGGGCACATGGAGAACGTGCACCGGGCACGTTGTTCTCCCCGCGGAGGAGAGCTCGCGAGGTTCTCCGAAGGGCGTTGTTCTCCCCGCAGAGGGGA